AGGCCCCAGACTTCGCTATCGTACATGAGAACACTGGCCACCAACGATTGAAATAAGGTAGAGATCATAGAGCACGCAAGACAATCGGTCACCCTAAGGACGTCTAGCGCAGATGACATGGTAATGTACGTGGATTCATTCTGTCGGTTGCACAAATATTAAATAAAGAGCAGCTCAAGTAGTTAATGCCGAGATAATAATATGAGTTCGTGATTTCAATACGTTTATTATTAAATTTAAAGTCGAATATGGGTGTCTGCCCAGCCTTTTGAAAAATCATTATTTTAGATTTAGCGTCGTTGAGGATCAATTCGTTGACTTCAAAATACTCCTGTAAGTATCTCATGGATTTGTTCATTTGAATGGGATTTTCCGCGAATACCACGATATCATCAGCATAAGCTAGCAGAATGATGTCGTGCGTGTAATCAACGGAGACACCTCTGCAGCCCTTGCGACGCAGAAAAGTCTCCAGATCAGAGGTGAAAAACACGAAAAACAACAGACTTTCAATGACTCTCTGAAGCATCCCGTGCGTTACGCGAACATAATCCGTAAGACCTTTCTCCGTGCTAATGGCTGAGACTGCCTGATCATATAGACTCTTACACGCTCGAATTAAATTCGATGAGTCACCCAGGGAGTGCAGTTTACACCACAGTTTATGGTGATTCACACTATCGAAAGCGCGTGAAAAATCAATAAAGAAAGCATAATCTCTTCCCTTTTCCCTACCGAGATGAATTTGCATGAGGGCTGATAACATGAAGATATTGTCAACACAACACAACACCTTTTTTGGATCGTCCCTACTGGCTTTTTTGTGCAACATGACTAAATTTAACTGAGCCCATGAGGTTGGTATCTTGGCATTTGTTAAGATTTTGTTAAAGAGACATTCTAAATAAAGAAGCCAGTTATCTCGTAAGAATTTGAAGAATTCGTTCGGCAGACCATTTGCGCATCGGGCTTTTCCTTTTTTACAAAGCAAAAGACAGCAAAAGACCTTTTTTCAGCAATTTCTCCGTGACTAATAGAGGAATCGAGGAGAGGATGAGACTAGTGTAGCAGGTCCAATGATATCAGTGAGAGAGAAGGAAAAATACTGTTGAAGAAGGATTGCCAAAGATCGAGGTCGATGCAGTCTACAGATGCTGAATTACGAGGTCGATACCTACTCACGAACTGCCAGAAGAGCTTAAGTCTGTTGACGGTTGCGAGAACACATCTAACATTTTCCTCATGAATTGATTTTTTTTTATCGACAAATATTTTATAGTTACTTTTCAGCTGATAATAATTTTGACGGTCTGCAAGAGATTTGGAGGATTGCCACAAGCAAAAGGCCTCCATAGTGACTTTCTGCAGGGCCTTGCACTCATCGTCGAACCAAGATTTTTGGCCAATAGAGGAGGTGTGAACATTTTTTCTTTGTTGCAACCCCAGCTCACCAGCTACTTCTTGAATGGTACAGATAAGGGTATCACTACACTCATCAATCGAATTATTATCATTCCATTGAACTGAAGGAGAAAGTTGCATGCTACGGAAATAATCCAGGTGGTAAGCAGGGTTCGATCTATATCGAGAAGGAAGATTTGGTGGGGACGATGAGGAGGAGGAGGGGAAAGCAAGGACAAGCTCCACAACGATGGAAAAGTGATCAGAGTTAGTGAGAATAGGGGCGATGAAGAAATCGTTTACTAAAGATGAACTATTTATGTTTGTGCACACATAATCAATGACCGATTTCCTGTGACAGGGGTGGAAAGGTACGTGCATTATCCCTCCATGCGTATCTCCAGGAGATCGCCCATTGAGAAGCGCATGATTTTACTTTTCGAGAAATGAATTAAGCTTGATGCCTTTCGCTCCTGTGTCGTGCATATCGAGAGAATATCTACTGTTATTGAGAAAACACTACCGGAGTCCAATGGTCGCGGTGGCTAAATCGTTAGTTCGGCTTGGCCACTAGAAGATCGAGGGTTCGAATCCCAGTCCGGTCGGGTTTTTTAACTTCTGGAAACAGGGGTTGGGGACTCAAAAGGGTGACTGGGCTTCGGATCCCGACTGGGGGGGACCCTTAACTTCCGGTAAAGGGGGTTAAGCGGCTCACCTGCGGCGGATTCTGGTGGGGTATGTCTCACCTCGGCTCTGGACGAGCGAGAGGTTCCTAATAGAGGAATCGACTGTACCGATGGAGATTTTCTGTGATTTCCTTCGTCTCTCTCGCGAAAGCAAATGCGCTATAATGTAGAACGTCGGCCACTGCCGCAAGGTTAGGTAGAGGATAGATGGCGGAGTAAACCAAATGGTTTAAAATTTCTTAAACAAAAAAAAAAAAGAGAAAACACTGAGGGGGAAAACCCTCGGAGGTGAACTGGTTCATATTTCCTAATGAGCAGTTGAAATCACCACCGATAAAGACGGGAATATCTGGATAGTCTAGCACTATGGACTCTATAGTGTCACCGAGGTTGGTTAAAGTAGAACCGTAAATAATGATCTGGCTTGTGGAGGGAAGGGATAGATTACTTACAATAACGAGAAACGCGCGAATTTGAATTTTGACCAATAGCCAGCGCTTGTCAGCTGGCTACCTCGTGATGATGAGCATTACTCGACATGGCGACCAAAAGTCCACCTCTGAGAAGAGGAATGCAGAGCCCTCCCTCTGCATGCCTCTTTGGTCGCTCGATATTCGACGATGTGGTAATGCTGGGCCAAGAAGTTGGTGGTAGGACGAGATGCGCTGTGGTGCTAGGTTTCTGAAAGACAGATGACATCGTGTTGAATTTTAGTCCCAGCCAAATCTTAAAGATTGGAGAGACCGTAGAGATTCCAATATATAATGTGGAATGAAGAGGCACGTGAAGGGAAAACAATTGAATTGGGGAGCTGGTGGAATAGATTTTGCGGAGGTTTAAAGGTGGGAGGCGAGGCGTTCTGAGTTGTGGCTGAGGGAGGAGGGGGAGGTGAGGAGGGAGTCCTCGTTACGGCGGCCCTACTGTTTTGCCTGGCTTGTTCCAGTCCACCATTCCGAGCTTAGGGGTCGAAAAAAGACCATCATGTGTTGACTCAGGTGAGGAGGATAGCTTACGAGAGGGGGAGCGTAACTTATGGGGGGGAGTGGGCCCCTTACGTAACGGTCTATCCCCTTGGGTAGGCAAGGGATCCTTGAAGATGTTGTATTCGTCTGAGACCCTCCGGCTAACATCGATTGAGAAGGGAGGAACTGGTTGACAGGAGCGGTAAAAAGTGTGGTAGAGGGGAGAGGAGGCCTTTCCAGCTGTTGGATCACCTCCTTATCGGCTGAAAACCCGTTGATGAAAATGGTTGAATCTCTGAGCTTCGCTTCTTTGCCCTGGTCCCTCAGTTTTTTGCAGATATTCAACTTCCTCCCACGTTCCTCTGTTTCCTCAGGGCTGAGATCATTCGAGATAGAGTAAACCAGGGCACGGATTTCGGCTGCTTGCCTGAAGATCTTTGTTTTGTACTGAGAAAATGAAAATGAAAATGAAAAGTCTCAGCAACACCGGGCGATCTCCTTTCCTTTTACCTAGTCTGGTGGCAAAATCAATAATTGTGACCGGCGCTTGGACTTTGGTCCCCTCAGAGGCTTCACAAATGAATTCAACGAGGCGTTTGTTTACCTTTGCTGTATCCGGAATTTTGAAATATAACACATTATACTTTCGGTTATTCGTATCCATCTTTGATAATTGGGATTTGAACGGCACTATCTCGAGTTTCATATCACCACACTTTTTGTTCACTTCTTGATGGAGGTTCTTTAGCTTCCCAACAGCGTTGTCAGTCGCGTAAGTGGTATTGGCTGCTAAGTCCTCGATAGACTTTTTGTCGGCCATGTTCAATTGTTTTGCTTCCAGCACTTTTTTTAGTTTAAGAACTTCAGCCATAGTTCGGTGCACGAGGTTAAAAGTGGAGAATAAATATACAGAAATAAATGTGGAATAAAGCACGCCACTACCCATACACTGAGCTGGAAACTGTCACACTTTCGCGTTCATAATAGCACTATAGGTACTTGAACACGGAGCTTATGTAAACACGTCCGCTGCCTGTGCTGGTCGAGAACGAAATCTGACTTATCGATGTAATAATATTAATATTAAATTGCAATTTATTGGCAGTTGCTATATAAAACCCTCAAGATTAGTTGATCCTCAATATCGTTTCGCTTTCAAGAATAATTTGCATGTCATAATTTAAATGTCAGGGGAATATCGATTCGGTAATATCTTAATTTACTATTCTAGATTTTTTTTATGATGAGCCAGCCACGGCAATATTGATGAAATGTACACACAGGAAATTTAAATCTACACTTTACACATTCGTATCTTTTATTTTACACAATGTGTTCGAGATGCTGAAGTTTGAGAACAATTGAATCAATATCACCACTGAAATATAAATATACTGGAATGGGCGCTGCCGTACTAAACGCGTGAGTGGGAAGCCTTTGTGAGATAGACTGCTCAAAAAAGGCCACCTGTCCTTCTATTTCGGTTTGCGCATGCGCTTAGAGAGGCAAACCACCTGGCGAATACTCCATCGAAAAAGTATACCCTCGTGTGTGCGCCCGGTTTATTATGATACTATGTGGTCGTTGAAGGGCAGAGTACAGTTGAATAATAAAAAATATAAGAAGTTTATAATGAATTAATATACTTGACGGTGATCGAACACATTTCATTTTACTTATCCACGTATATGAATCAAAAATTGTGCGGATTTGTTGTGTTAAAGAATGTAAATCATTCTGGCATTCGAATACTAACCTCTCGTTATTCACGTATGTACACTGCAGAATTTATACATATTACTAAATATTTATTACTACTATAGTTACGAAACAATTCTATACTATATTCCGAAGTACACTTTATTATGAAGAAATTATTCTGTGTCCCTCAGGTTTCCTTTCGAAAGGCCAGGAATTTTAACCGAATGGCTTGTGGTTATCCCCAGTAAGGGAAACATTTCTAAAACATCAGTTATTTGTAATAAACACTTCAGACAAGGTGACTTCCAATATGAAGGACCGAAAAGAATTCTGAAAGATACTGCTGTGCCGAGCATTTTTCCATGTCATGGTGAGGTAAATATACTTCTTCTTACAATTGTTTATTTTCCAATGCTCCCAATATGTGATCTTTTTTATGCATAATAAATTTACTCACAGAGAATTTTTTCGTTTTAGGATATCAAGAGATCGTCCAATGGGGTCGACTGCGAAGAGGAAAGTATGGAAGCAAGCACCAGTGGACAACACTTAACGAATGATTCTGAAGAAAATGACATCTTGACTGACCGCAGATGCTCCAAGAGACGTATGGAGTCTGATGGCCCTACTATTCTGAAGGACTTGAGCCATGTGAAGAATATGGAAGTGAAGGTAATAAAATAACTCAATGAAACCTATTCACTGTCAAAGTAGGGTGAACGTCTCAGGTGCTTACTGATGGTAATTTAATTAAATGAAAGAGCTGACTACAACATTGTGAGACTAGCTGGAGACAAGTGGTATAAAATGGACACTTCACTTTTTTTGAGGTGGTAATGACATGTTGAAATAAATGGGATAATTTCAGTTCTACGGAAAGTATAGCCCTTCACCTTTGTGGGGATCCTAGACTGAACTCAATTACCAAATTTGTTTCTGAGTTATGATCATTGCCAACAAAAGTGTCCATTTTGCCCATTCTCTTCTAAATAATTGAAATAATGGAACAATGGCCTCATGATATTTATTGATATGTATGCGTCGCTTTTCTACATTTCTATTTTGACGACAGAAAATATTTTTCAATTCGATGGTGGCAAATTTGTGCTTTCTGAGAATGATAGAAATAATTATGATCAAGAATCCTATTAAGAGTTCTATTTTTATGATATAATTTTTTTTCGTCCTCTCTTTAGAGAAATATTGAGCTGCCAAAATACGTAACGATTCCAACAGAAAGCGAGGAAGCTATGCGACGACAAATATTGATTCTCCAAAGAGAGAATAGGCAACTCAAACTGAAGCTCCATAACGTAACACAGCTCGTGAAAAAGTTGAAGAAACAAGGTAATTGCACTGATGATTTGGAAAAAGTTTTGATGCAACGTTTTTCTGACCTCAATTCAGAATTGTTCAAAAGTGAAATGAACAACAACAATATCCCTAAAACTCGACATCGATATACCGATAAAATGAGAGGGTATGCTATGACAATTTATTTCTACAGTCCAAAAGCGTATAAATTTTTGCGTACTGTGTTGAGTTTACCAGAAGAATCTATTCTTCGAAAAATGATCGGTGAAGCGAGTTGTGAACCGGGATTTTTAGATGGAGTTTTCGACTTTCTGAAGAATAAAAAAATAGAATCGGAGTATATTCAAGATGTAGGATTAATAATTGATGGTATGGCAATAAGGCGTGGAATCGCTATAGATAATAATGAAAATTGTCTTCGTGGGTACGTTGATTATGGTGCAGTTGGGCGAGAACTCAATATTAAATGTGACCCCAAAGACATAGCTAAAGAAATGTTGGCTTTCCAAATTGTATCTTTTTCCACGAAGTTGAAAATACCAATAGCTCATTCTTTTATCAAGACGATTGATGGTGAGACTCAAGCTAAACTTGTTGAAGCAGCAATTCTGAGAATTTATGATGTTGGAATCATAGTACGCTCACTTACTTGCGATGGGATACCGACTAATTTTAAATTAGAGCTCCCTGAGCAGAAAAAGAAGTTGACGCACTCAAAGTCCCATGGTAAAAGTGCATAATTTGTACCTTCTTTTAAACATCCCCAGACCAATTCGAATATTTATTCTATCATGGACCCCTGTCACATGTTGAAACTCTGTCGTAATGCACTTGCACAAACAGTGTTGAGCTCACCGAGTGGTAAAATTTTATTCGAATATGTCAAAAATCTTCATGAACATCAGAGGGAGATTGGCTTTAAATATGCTAATAAATTAGCATCCACCCACATCAATTTTTCCAATAAAAAAATTAATGTTTGCCTTGCTACTCAAACTATCAGTAGTGGTGTTGCTGACACCATTGATTTTCTTCGAGAAACAAATCATCTCCATTTCACAAACAGTGAAGTCACAACAGAATTTATTAGGATTTTCGAAAGATTATTCGATATAATGAACAGCAGAAGTGCCTATGGGACCCACTATAAATCTCCCCTTTCGATGAAAAATCGAAGTCGGTGGACAGACGTATTTAGAGAGTCAGAGGAATACATCAAGAAATTGAGACTTGGTGAAAAATTATTATTAAACACTCCGAGAAGGACTTTTGCTCTAGGCTTCATTATTAATATACATAGTTTCCAAGGGCTTGCTTTCGATGTTCCAACCAACTCGAACTTTATTTCTGCAGTCCCAGGTGGAGAGGGGGTTGGAATAACAACCCCAGCCTCTTGCAAGTGCTATGGTCGATTCGGAGATTCCTATTTCGAAATTCAATCAAACCTAGTGTGAATGCTAATTGTCAATCAATGGATTTCGAGACAACCCCTGTTTTTAACTTTCGTTTATCGGAATGTAATGCCAAAGATGAAGAGAAAAAAAATAATGACAAAGAAGCAAAAGAAAAGAAAGAAGACAATGAAATTATCGAAGAGTTGATGAGCGCATTAGAACACGAAGAATTATCTTTTTACCAAGAGAATATCTTATTTTATATTACGGGGTTTATAGTGAATAAATTCATGAAGAAATATACGTGTAGTCACTGTAACGATCTTGTCCTGTCCTCGTTCAAATCTGACCACACCTATACTTGTCCAAATTTCAAAAACCCTTCGGCATTTTTGACATTTGTGAACAGAAGGAAGTTATGCATACCAGCAGACGATATCTTTGAAATTGTCAAGTATTGTGAGAGAACATTCAGAGCTCAGATTAATTTAGGGAATCATCAACGTATTGATTTCAAGGATCGAATTGCCAATCTAGTTTCAAGGCATTTTTCTCAAATTCTATCCAAGACATTTCCATCTTCTCACCCAGTACTTGAAACTTTGCATGGATGTTATGAACCGCACGAGATGAAAATGATCAAAGCTGTTGCGACTGATTACATTAAAATTAGATTGAATAGTTATGCGAAAACGCAAACCCTGGAGTATTTAGGTTCAAAAGCAACTATCAGACAGAAGTTATCCAAAACTATTCTTTTTTATAATGTCTAAATGTTTATTCATTATTGGTAACGTGTGGTATGAAAATCGTCTGTAGTAGAGAGTTACTCGAAGGTTGTTACTTTTTTTTTATCATAAAAACGTATATAGATATATGGACTTACATACTGTTATAGATCTCGGTTCACAGGTTGTTATCTGTAAGTGCTTTATTCATTTCAGAGTTTAGTGATTATTTTGCAAACTATTCAGCGCAAGAAGAACTGTGCACAGATTGATTTCTTACTAAGAAAGAGATTTTACTAAAAACGTGAAATAATATATGCAATATCGACAATATTGTTAATAGTCAAAGTCTATTAACCGAAACTGATATAAAGTACAAATAACTCGATGACTGTTAACTAATGAACTTAAATTATGAAAGTTATTTGATGTGTATTTGAAGAAAAGCGTTACCTCTTCAGGATTATTATTGTTCTAAAGTTTAATTCTGAGGAATTTAAAGTAAGTTTTTCCTACGAGATTCGATAGTTATATAAGAATCTAAACAATATTTCATACTTTGTACACTATTCATTTATTTTCCTTTTGATATTTTTCTATAATCTCGGTATTCTTTCTTCGGGTTTGGTCTTTTCGCTTTTCATGAAAACTTATACAGTAATGTTGAACCACAAATCTTGCTGCTTTTCTTAAAAAAAAAAAATTATACTGTCATAATGCTTGCCCCTCTCTACTATCACTATTATTAACCTCCAGCATTTGAGTGAAGTACCTTTTCTTACTATTTTCAATAGTGTATTGATTTTTATTTTAAACTTTTTAATTAAAACGTAAATATTTTTTACAGATACTTGGCTGGATGATTGACGTTAAACGAAAATTTCGTTATTTTTAATAACTTCAGGAGGCTGGTGACAACTAATAACAAATTGCTGTATGAAAAATTTGTAAATTGTAAATTTTCCAGTCAGTTTTTTTTTAAATTGTACATTATTTCGCAGGAATAAATTTACAGTATCATATAACTGTTGAAATAAGAAATTGAATGTGTCAAGATTGTGACTTAAATGTAAATCCCCAGAATTTGATCACTTCTATCAATCGTTATGAATAGTAGCGAGTTGACAAAATATATTGAGTGAATTTTGGATATTTTGTTAAATGGATTATAAATCAAATTTATTGACAATCTATTTATATAAAAAATTGAGCATTTCTAAAGAAATTGTCAAAAAAACTTTTTTATAGAAGGATGAATTCTTAGCTAAAAAACGGTTTTGACAGTTTCCTAGAAAGTCAGGTTTTAGCAAGATTATCCGATATTCAACAATATAGGAGAAATCGAGGAATTTCGTTACATCACTTCTGCCGAATAGTAAGCGCAGCGCGCTGCGCAGGCTGCTTATGTTTTCGAAGGGATTGTACGACAAGGACAGGTGGCCTTTCTCTCTCGCACAGAGCCCAGAGCCCAGTGCACATTCCAGTATATTTATATTTCAGTAAATATCACATGATTTAGGCAGCGCAGAGGCTGGAGATCAATTGATCAGAATAATAATCGAATGAAACACATAATACATACGAAAATGTTCCAGGGGACTGGTGTAAGTTTTATCATTGGGTGTGGATAAAAATTTCGTATATGTATTCAATGTACAGTCATAGAATAGAAAGTGGACACCCGCGTTGTAATTAAAATGAACAAAAATTCGAATATTGACAACCAGAAAATGAATCCCATCTTGAAATTCTTCAAGGTGCAGTCTTAATTGCAACTTTCAAAACATTCACGTGTGAAATATTCCCACACGCAAATTAATAGTGTGATAATACATAGATATTCTAGAATGTATGTGTCGCTTTTTCTCATCGAGTAGAGAATATTATAAGAATGATTTAAATCTGTGTACCATGGGTCAAATAATAGAGCATAATGCCAACATTACATTACAAAAATCATCAGAAGGTTCTTTATCGCAGTGTTCGTTATACGAAACTCTTCAGTTATCATCTACAACAGTAACTATAAATAATAAAATACCGTTTATAAATTGAATACCTAGCTTTCGCCAAATTATTGCAGGATTACACAATAGACATGAATATGTGAAAATAATCCCTGTCAATCAACGTAGTTAATTCCTTAAAACAAGCCCTACGTGACATGCTACCAAATGTAACGTACAGGAAAACAAACAATACTTACCAATGAGACTAGTGCTGTCAATGGCAGAAAATCTAATCCAATTGGAATACCGGAAAATTCTCAATTGGTCGGACTGCGAAAGATTGTAAACAATAATCATACACTGTATATGATATTCAGTTACGATGTTCCCGCATTACGATGTTCCCGTGTTGTGGAAAATGCCGGCGAATTTGGGCCATTTCATCTACAAGAACGGGTATCGCCGCCTGGTGGATTAGTACGTGGCTAGTTTAATTATAAGTTCGAATTCTTATATGGGAGTTATGTGGAGTTGAGGGGGACTGGCTCAAACCGATGTGTACATTCATGCTCTGACAACGTTTTTCTGGCTGTGGTCACTACTGCCGTAAAATGCTGTAACGTATATAATTTCTTATCATTGTATTTTCATTAAAATTCTGTTTTCTAGGTTTTTTCGCAAGTCATATTACCTGAATTCTAGTAGAGCAATTTATCTAATTTTCCGGAAATTCGATCGACTATTTACTCCAACATATACACTCTCGTATAAAATACTCTCTAAATGAAGCAGTTTCTGGGACCACAAGTTTCTGGATTCTTGAAAATGCGATAGTTTCATTATTCGGCGTAATGACATGGTCTTACGCTGATAAGGCCACAGTATATCTATCTACATTTATATCGCCTATATAACAAGATGGTGTATATCGAGTTTTAATCATTTTGAAATACAACGAAACT